GGGTCCTTCCTGCTAGATATTCGCGAAAAGACTTGCTATTTCGTAATTTCTACTACATCATGACAAAAGGCGATTTTCTGTAAGGATCTAGCGGGGTCCTTCCAGCTAGATATTCGCAAAAAGACTTACAATTTTTTAATTTCCACTACACCATGGCAGAAGGCCATTTTCCGTAAGGATCTAGCGGGGTCCTTCCTGCTAGATATTCGCGAAAAGACTTGCGATTTCGTGATTTCCACTACACCACATTCTAATTTCATTTGATTATTACTACTAGGTACATATATAAAGATAGGTATAAAAGTTCCTCACCTGGTTCCATTGACGGCTCCATACACCAGAACATACCCCAAGGGAGAAAACCCAACGATAGCGGAATAAATCCAAAACACGAAAATGTACCTTTCCACAGCCGTATGTGTTATCAAATTCTGATACCGTAAAGGTTTCGCTAAAGACGTAAATCGGTCCACAGCTATAGCAACCATTACTAACACCGACACACAACACAATGTTATTACAACGCTGTAGCTAACAAGACAAGTGTGTACGTTGATTTCTTGATAACTTCCCGACTCCAAATAAGTCCCAACCGGCATAAAAGTTCCAACGCCCAAGTCCGAAACTGCTAACGAAGTCACTAAATAGTTACTGGGAGTCCTTAGTCGTTTAAATCTACAAATGGCGACCAAAATAAGGGAGTTTCCAATAACGATCATCGGCGAAATGACGAAGACCAGGAGAAGGGCCACTGTCACAGCCCATGGAGTGCTGAGCTTCGAAAGCGACCTGGTGACATTGAAGTCGTATGAGGAAGTGTTTGTCGTTGGTTCTGTCTCCACGGTGTAAAGCACCAAAGCCTGATGGGTGTAGTTAATAAGTGATATCTCCATGCATACATTGATTGATTATTGGAAAGGTGATAACCCTGATCACCAATGGAAGATGCTTTACTGAAAAAGAAAAAAACGAACGGTTTAGATACCTTTATACATAAGTAGATATTATACATGTGTGATGCTAAAGACATCAATAGAATGCAGCTAATCCAAAATAGGGCAATGCGTGCAATATTAAATTGTAATAAATTTACACCGATTAAAGAAATGTTAAATAGGTTAGGCTGGATTAGTGTAAGTAAGTTAATCAAATATAATGTTCTTGTCTTTATACATAAAATAATGAAAGGAACGATGCCGCATTACCTAAATGATCTAATAAAAATAAATGCAGACTTTCACTCTTATGGCACTAGAAATAAAACTAACATACATTTAGAAAGACTTAATAAAACATTAGCCCAAAACTCCATCTTTTACAATGAAGTAAAGGATTACAACTCTCTTCAAGAACACATAAAAACTTGTGACATTAAAAGTTTCAAAAGAAAAATCAAGGTTCTACTGTTACAAGAA